AGTACAATGGGAAGTAAATTGTTGCAAACCATATTGAGCAATACTTAAATGAATATTAATTTCTGTTTGATTTTGAATATTTGAATGAACATTTAAATAATGATTTTCTATGAAATTTAAAAGAATTGAAAGAATGGTCTTTATTCTTTGATGAATTTCAATTAATGAAGAAGACATAGTAGAAGTTATTGAAACAATAGTATTAATAATTAAAATGATTTCATTTATAGGAAAGTCTTCAAACAAAGTAGATTTATTAAGTGCTTCAAGTAACTTATCAAAAATACAAACCATTCTACGAATAATAGGAGAAGAGTCATTAGAAGCATTATTTAAGAGACTAAAAATAAAACATGCGTCTAAGTAGAAATGAAGTGAAATCATATTTTGATATAATAACGAACTAATTGTGATAGTACTTTCTTGAAGAAAAGGACATAATGTAGTTTTAGAAAATGAAGATAGAACTTGCATTAAAGAAATAATAGGATGCTTTAAATGAATAATTATTTCTTCATTATTTAGATAATAAGAAATAAAGAACGAGTTAATAAAATTTGGGATTAAAATAGAAATTTTTTTATTATATGAACATATAAAAGAAATATAATTGGAGTATGACATTGTTTGTATTGAATGATTTGATAATAATAATGAATGAATAATTTCTTTTAAATGAGTATATAATATAAATAAAGATTTTTCAACTATTAGAGATGAAACTAATTCGTCAGAAATAAAAGAATTTGAAGGTGAATAAATACAATAAACTTTATCTAAAATGAAATGTATTTGTTTAAATAAAGCAATTACATCTATTTCAATTTCTTCATTTAATAATGAAATACTATAATCATGATAATTCATAACTTCTGTCATTAATGTATTTAGTGATTGGTCTTGTTCTATTACAATAGCAATAAGTCCAATTAAACAAACACATATTTGATTTAAACATGCATAAAAAAATGTCATTTTGTTTGTTTTAAATTGATAAAATAGTTGAAGAAGAGCAAATCGAATTAATCCAATAATATTATCATGTTCAAATGAACAACAAGTTTTATTAATGATTTGATGAGTATGAAATGATTGTATTAGACTATGAATTACTTTTTCAAAAATATGTAATTCTTCATCATCAGGAATTAATTTATCAGTAAATTCTGTTTTTGCAGATTCATATCCTAATGTTCTTGCATACTCCCATAATTTTTCATTTTTTAATCCCATTGAAATAACACAAACACATTTATACATTACTCCACGAGACACTCCACCAATAATTAATTGTCCTAATGAAAATAATAAAGTGGGAATATTTATTATACTTGATATATCCAATTGAAGTGGTAATATTAAGTGATCTTCACAAATATTTTTTAATACAATAAAATGTTCTACAATTCTTGTATAGTTACAAATTAATGTTAATATCATATTAATTACTTTTTCTTCTTCTAAAAGATCAATAAATTCATTACATTGACAAATTATTTCCATTTTTTGATTAATACGATAATATAAAGTATCAATAACACTTAATATCATATTTAATAATAATACTTCTTGTGTTTGTTTTTTAAAGAGAATAATTGTTTCTTCAAGACGATGTAAAGCATAACTAAAATGAATAATTTTATTAAACTGGTCTTTAATAGTTAAATGACTCATTTTAAACACATTCATAAAACGGTATGAATCAATAATTATATTAATTGATGAAAATTTATAAATGTCATTAAATTGATTATATTTATGATTAATAGATTTTAATTCTAATAGTGAAGTTGGAATAATTAATGAACTAATAAAATGACATAATGATATTTCATAATCTTCAGTTTCATCAACAAACATTTTTTCTGTTTGTTTCATTGAAAAATAACAAGAAATTAAGTTAAAGTCTTTTTCAGAAATATCAATAATATCATGATTTGAATAATAATCAAATATTATTTTTAAATGTCTTGTTGCAAAATCATTTATTCTAAAAAGATATTGAATAACTCCATAAATATATTTAAATGAAGTAATTTGTTCAATATTATTATCCATAACTTGTTTAATTAAATTGTTAATTGAATTTTCTATTGTTATATTACAAAATATTGTATTAGTCATTGAAGGAATTTGATTACCTTCAAAAAAACAAGTAAATGGTTCAATTTCACACCACATTAACTTTAATCTATAAATCTGTTTTAATGAAGATTGTTTATTAGTCATTAATGAAGATTTACAAATATGAAGAATATCAAATATAATAAAAAAATCACTCGACACAAATGTAAAACTAATCTCTTTCATTTCATTTAATTTTTGAATAATGGATTGATCAAATAAAATATGATTTGTTAAAACTTCATTTTGAATCTTTCTAAATTTATTAATTAATTCTTTTTTCATTATAGTATTATTTATAGTATAAGCCAATTGTAAATAACAATTAATTTCAAATATATTCTTTTCAATTCCTCTTTTTTCTTTTCTAATTAATGAAATAATTTTTTCACTTCCATTTAATATTTTTAAACAATTAAGATGATATTCAAATTCAATTGATTTTTTTACAATATTTCCTAATGGTTGATATAAAATTGATATAATAATATAAATAATTTGTTTAATTTTATCATCCGACTCTTTATTTTTAATCATTTTTTCTAATGTTGGTAAATATAATGCAACTATACTTGATTGAAATTTATTACTAATTAAACTTATTGTATTAATTAAAGGAATAATTTCTAAAAGAGAAGAAGAAGAAGGAATATTACATAAACATAACCATAAGAATTTTACTTGCATTGGTGCTAACGTAATATAATCAGTAATAAGAGTTGTTAATGACATTGTGTAATTTATTTCTTCAAATAAATTATTATAAAATTTGACTATTTTTTTTCTTAGCTTATTTAAAGAATAATATAATTCATTATTAATATTTAAATACATTTCATCACAAATAATTTTATAAAATAATATTATTAAACTATCTAATTCTTCTTTATTTGGTTTTTTATTTAATTTATTAAATGTTTTAACAACAGTAAATTTTTCTATTGAACTATAATGTTCTACAATTGTTTGAGAGAATTTTAATAATACTTCTAAATTAATTGGTTCATATTTTTTTAATTCAATTCCTAATAATTGTTTAATTGAAATAATTACTTTATTAATAACTTGTTGTTGT